GGGAGGGAGGGAGGGAGGGAGGGAGGGAGGGAGCTCCGCTGCTCTCGACATCCAGAAAACAAAAAAAGTTATGGCGCTGTATCTTCCCATGTTATAGCCGTAGATGGGTCAAACTTGTTTCTTTTAAAGAAAACAAGTCAGCCACCAGCGGTGAAGCCGCGGCCCAGCACAAACTCCACCCCATCCCGGGCACAAGAGGAAAGAAACAGAAAAGGGGAAAACTCAACCCCTGGGACAACAGGAAAAAAAGCAATTCTGAATGGGCAATCCCACTTGGGTGCATCTGGCCGCAACTCCATCCAGGAGAAAGAGAAAAAAATGCCATAAGAAAACAGCACTGCTTTGCACGGGAAGAACCGAAAAAGCTCAAAGAGGGGGGGGGGGGGAAACAAAAGCTAAAAAACCCTCAGCAGCGTGAGTGCCCTCAGAATTAGGGTGAGTATGCCCTAAGAATAGGATTCAAGCTTGGAACTCTGATATTGGGCCCGTAGAAGACTGCATGAGCCTGGCGTCCAAAGTTCCCGTCCGACAAGGTTCGTCTGCTTCCGCTTCCGCTTCCACTAGGGATGGGGGGTTGGCCCAGCCTAGGTGCTTATCACTGCTCTCTGGTCCAAGGTGCCCTCGATACTGGTAGCGTGATGGTCCTGAGTGCTGGTCACAGTGAGGTAGGATAGTAGGGACAGGAGGTGGGGTGGGAGTATGAACGTGGGGATGGGTATGGCAGGTGGCTTATCCTGTCAGGACAATTATGGGCTGCCGCTGCCAGCAATCCCCACGGGTCTGGTCCTTGGCGTCTACAACACACTGGGCGTTAAAAAGAAAAAAAAAACAAGAAAAAAGAAAAAAACAAAGGATTTGAGCTCTGAACGGGCAAGCACTTTATGAAAAGCATCTGGCTGCAATGAGGGCCAGATGCGAACGAATCAGGCTGAACATGCCACCTAGCACTTTCCAAATGCATCTGACAGCAATTAGGGCCAGATGCGGACGAATCGGGCTGCACCCCCAGAGCTTTCTCAAAGAAAGTCCTCGTGTGAGTATGCTCGACCCGACACTGCTGCTGCTACGAACCAAAAAAAAAAAAGGGAATCAGAAGTGACTGCATCAGGCGCAAGGTTCCATAGACCCATACCGTAGGATAGCTTAGTCCTGGTAAGTCGATTTAAAGCTGGTCCTCTGTCCCATATAGGGGGGTAGTTCTTAATTAGTACATAGCTCAGGGTAGGTAGTGTGAGATTAAAAAAAAGACTATTGAGAGAAGAAAATAGAGTAGTAAAAATGCAGGTGTTCCCCATATGAGGAGAAGGCAGCTTGCATTTTATGTATACAGAAAAAAAAAAAAAAAAAAAAAGACAAAAAAGAAAACAGAATAAAAAAGCAAATGCGGAATAAGGAGGCATAGGGAGGCCGCATTAGGCACGACGGGGAAGGATTAAGGAGAGTAACACTACAGGGCAGGGGCAGAGCTCTGCGTGGTACATCCTCCTGAAGAGGGAGCAATTGTTGCATACTAGTGAATACTTCACCAAGAATGGGCAGAACCAAAGATCAAGCAATATAGGATGAGGCTGATGAGCATGTATACAGCGGAAGTCTGAGAAATGGACTGACTCACACAGACTGAACTCACCCAAACATCACTCAACACACAAGCAATCGTGAGATGGTGGGGTCTGAAGCCATACATAGACGATGCTTCAGGGCCCGTACAACCATACACAGATGAGTGGTGGGAGGAGAGATGATGGAGGTGGGAGATATGGACAGCGCCAGATGTCACCGAGATAGAATCCAGAAGGTCACCGATATGGTAGCCCAAAATGTCACCGAACAAAATTAGAATGTCGTGGACATAAGTCACCAATGTCGGAGGTACAGAATCCTAATGTAACCGATGTCCGATCTGTGATGCCGCCAGGTATCAATCCCAACTATCTCCAATGTCTCGAATCCGGTAAGTATCACAGCCTCCTACCACCAAAGTCCCATTACTGATCTCTGTCCAACTCGTATCAATAGTCTCCAATCCGAAGAAGAAGAAAAAGAAGTCTGAGTCTGAAGAAGAAGAAGAAGAAGAAGAAGAAGAAGAAGAAGTCTGAAGGAGAAGAAGAAGAAGAGAGGGGCAGAGCATCGGCGGAGATGGCGAGTAGCTCTAGGCCCTACCTGATGATACAAGGTGGCGCCTTGGCTGTTGCAGGAGACGGCTGTGCTGCTGGGAGCTATGGCGCTCGTGGCTGCTGTCAGGTAAGTCTACCTCCTCGCTCTCTCTACAGCCAGCGCTACACCTAGCGCTGCGCTGAACCGAAATAGCACAGCGGCGTTCCTCAATGCTGCTGTCCTCCAAACTCTTCGAAATGGCTGTTGGCTGGGCCTAAGTACCGGCCGGCGGCCAGTTTGGCCTCTGCCTCCCAAGGTGGCCTCCCATCTGAACCATCGGATCTATCGTCCGATCCGTGGTTCAGGTCGGACCGGTTTTCGGGAAGCAGGCTGCCTAAACGGCGGCCTGGTCCAAATGAAAATGTTTGGCCATTTCCAGCCCAGGGCCTGCGGCTGCAGGGCCTGGTCTAGAGCTGGTTGTGTAAGGCCAAAAGGGCGGCCTAAGGCCTGAATTATCACGTCCAGGCCCTCAGAACCCCTCAGCCTAGTCGTCGGGCCTGAAAGGGCCTGTGTGGAATGCAGTATGTAACAGCAATCAATGCCGCTGTGTCAGGGCCTTCCGGCCATATCGGGGAGGAGCGCTGTGCGGGTACCATTCACGTAAGGGACGTTGGACCTACTTTCCAGCTGTTAAAATAGAATGTGCAATACCCGGGATAAAAACGGGAAAAGAAAAATAAGAAAGAAAGAAAGAAAGAAAAGAAACAAAAAGAAAAATTAAGGGTTTGGAGCACCAAACCCCACACAACCTTTTACCCACAGCGTGCCATGAATGACTTGGAACTCTTACCATTTCGCAAGAGGATTGAACGGGTGGTACCGACGCGCACAGAACGGGCATGGCAATCAAGCAAGCAAAGTTAGCAAACCCAGCAGACTGAGCAGAGCTAAGACTCCAACTCAATAATCCAAGAGTCCACAGTTATACTGGGTTAAGAAATAGTCCAAAGAAGTAAAGAAGCCAAGATTAGGCACTGGACATTCAGAGAAGGTGGGCGAGGGAGCCATGGGAAGAGTCGGAACTTGAAAGACCACGTACCAATAAAACAGATCCGCTGGAAAAGAAGAGAAGTACACGATGATCAGACCTGTTAAAAAAAAAAAAAAGAAAAAGAAAAAAAAGATGATCACAACGGTAAGGATCACAAGAGTCTCTCTCCAGTGCCTAACTGCAGATGCAGCTCTCCCAATTAACAGTTGGCCACGTGGACTTTTGGTGGTCCACGCGATCCAGTCGAGGCAAAAAAAGAACGAGTCCAGCCACCTGTTGTATAAGCTGTAAAACAGTTCAGACCAGGAGCCGGAAAACATCGCATATACTGTCTAATTAAATGCAAAAAAAAAAAAAAAAAAAAAAAAAAAGAGTAGACTTCCACTCGTCCAAGCGAAAGGAGCCGTGGTCCTCCCTATTGCCCTCCACCCTCCACCTCCTCCCGTCCCAAATATGGTACCAGATTTTCTCTGGACCTACCTTCCCATGTCCTTCTCCAAGACTGAGAGAATCCGGTACGGTACGGTATGATCAGAAAGACGACTCTGTGCCAGATTGTTACTATGAAAACAAATGCGTGAAGGAAAGAACACAAGGCAACCCTGTCCTTCCAGACATCCGTTAAAATTGGAACGATACAGGGAAGATAGAATCGGATTACCATGGCCCCTGCCCAAGGATGACACACAGAAATCGACAAATGGTCCAAAAAAGAAAGAAAAAAAGAAAAAAAGAAAAAAAGAAAAAAAGAAAAAAAGAAAAAAAGGAAAAAAGAAAAAAAGGAAAAAAAGGAAAAAAGAAAAAAAGAAAAAAAAGAAAAAAAAGGCAATTCTGTGAGTCTGTGGGGCAATATGCATATGGAAGGAACGCTGTTGCGTCACATTGGGGGGCAAATCTGAAAGATCGCAAACGACGCAAAGAGAAGGTTTGGGGGGGAAGAGTCGCCAGCTGGGCCTCGCTCAGTTGGTACACTCCCCCTGGACTGAACTGTTCAGACCTGAGTCCGGACTGCACTGGAAGCAGATGAGTTCAAAATATTACAATTATTGTGAATGACCAACCGTCTTCTCCCAAATAGAAAGCCTGGTCATCATAGCGTCTATTTGGACTGCAAATTGCAACAAATACGGCTATATTGACCCGCCGTGTTCTATTCACGTGAAGACTGTAGGCCCGGTCCATTCGACGATGATTCGACGATCATATCTCAAGGCCGCCGTCCCTTGCGGTTTGGGGGTAGTCAACACATCTTATAGAAGCCAAGATCAGATGCAAGAGGCGGCGAACAAAGAGGCCGCTCCTTGCGGCCAAACCAGATGAGGAGAGCAGGACCGAGCGGAACTTCCCCCAGACATGGCTACTGGACGACAAGACTGCAATTCTCGAAAGACAGTACTCGAGATAGAAGAAATGGCACTCTGTTCCAGATACCCTAGCTACTTAAACGTGACTCGATCAAGAGACCAGACAGAAGACACCCAGCCTTCCTATCCCTTGCAGTAATCATTCCACAGAGCGCACCGCAAAGTGGATCGATGCCGGAAATAGCTTAAACTGCCAGTACACGGCCCCAGCCTTGCTGAAAAGAAAACTCGTCGCCAGCGAAAATTTCGGCGGCCCAGCGCCGTAGATAAATTGAATCGGCGGCGGGCGGCCTCCGAAAAGGGCCTGCAGTCGATAGCTGTATGTATTGGTGGTTAAATGGGTGGTAGGTTAGCATACCCCCAGGGCAAGAATAGTTGGAATAGCTAATGAAGGACACACATAAAGCATGAAGGGCTGACCAGGGACATCTTCCAATTTACAGTTTTAACAGTCAGTCCGCCCGGGGTAGATTGAGAGGGAGATATTATTCTTTCTGCTATGATTTTCAGGCATGTTTTTGAAAAGGGTTTAAAAAGCCGTTACATCGACAGAGGGACGGGACAGTTTGCCAAATGCATGGGCATGACGCACACAGTCAATCCTTTCGCAGGGAAGCAATCAATGCGGTCAGAGGGTTCCCCGGGCCCAGCGGGCCGCACCGTGGAGAAGCATTGAAGTCGGTCGGCTTTACATGTCATCTTCACCTGCTGGTGGAATAGGAAACGGACTGATGCTCCCCAGAATAGGAGCCAATTAAAAAGAAAACACGGGAAAAAAAAAAAAAAAGAACAGGGGAAGGCATGGAGGGGGGAAAAAGAAGTCCATGGTTAATACTGTGATACACAGAGCAAGATTGGTGGAGTGTCTCTTTTTTTTCCCTTGCGCAGGGGCTATGCTAGCTAATCTTCTCGTTCTCTGTATCGTTCCAATTTTAACGGATGTCCTGAAGGACAGATTGGTAGAGTTCTCTGTCCAAAAAAAAAAAAAGAAAAATAAAGAAAGGACTGGTGAAGTGGTAGGATAGTAGTACTGCAGTAGTAAATTACTCTTATCGATTACAGAATGATCATTTTGTTTTCATCAGGAGAGGACAGGGTGAGGAAGTGTAACTACTACCTAGTGATATGGTGATACGGTGATACGGTGATTACACCATTGCGGAAGGTTGGTGCAACATGTGTGATGCAGGACTCCTGTGATTGGGATTGTGCACAGGATGATGGGGAAGTCGATGGCCAACATGAAAATTGAGGAATTTGAGAATGCAATATGTATTTGTAAGAGGGCGAAGAATTTAGAAAATTAAAAATTTCGAGGATAAAACATTCTTTATGAACAAACAAAGGTGCAGAGGGTGGCTTCTTTTCGCAGAAACATAAGTTAGATTATTTATTAGTGTGAGTCTGTGACGATGACGATGATGATGATGATGATGATGATGATGATGATGGCAGCAGGGCTTTTGCAGTGGATTGAATTTGATGGGGTTGCCAAAGGGAGCACCTTCTATGTTGGGACAGTTTATGTGCGATTGTAGCGGGGTTCATGACAGCGTGAGCTGGGATAGCAAGCTAACAATTGCAGGATTTGTATGCGGAGATGATCGAAGTAATAAGAAAGCTTTTCCCAAATTATATCCTTGCGACAGCATGGGTACAGCTTCGGATAGCGACTGTCAAAATGACAGAAGGAATATGGAAGGTTTTCCCAGATAATGTCAGGAAAGACAGACACAGAGAGAGAGAGAGAGAGAGAGAGAGAGAGAGAGAGAGAGAGAGAGAGAGAGAGAGAGAGAGAGAGAGTACTGTATTCGAGCTCTGACTTGCCACCACCGTGAAATAGGAACCAAACTGACCATTCCCTACCATACCAGCCCTGCAGCTTCTCTCTTGCTTCCCTTTCTTTTTGTTTTTCTTTTCTCCTCCTAATTTCCCCACCTGGACAATTACCTGTTATAAATTCCACTTTTTTCGATTTCCCCACCTGGACAATCTCCGTCATCAATTCCATTTTCACCACCACCTTCTCCCCTGTGCAGCTCCTTTTCCTCGCCGAATCTGAACTGCACACTGGACCACCGGCTTGCGTGGCTGTCTGATTCAGCAACGTCCCTGCCATGGCAGTCTCTAGCGTGCATCTCCTCTTCCTCGCAGATTCCGAGCTGCGTGCCGGAAGAGTGCTCTGCACACATGTTCTAGTGTTAAATAATAAACCCGCCGCCTCGACAGCCTCTGTCACGCATTTTGCTTTCACTGCCACCACCTTTCGTTCGGTGCCGCTTCTTCTCCTCTTCCTCCTCCTCCTCCTCCTCCCCCCTGACTCCAAACTGCACCCTTGGCAACAGCCAACCCTCAAAAAACTCAGGTCTGCTTCATCCTGTTCTGCTCTTGTTCTCAGTTTTGAGAATGGCGGTTCTTTCGTCAAGAACCGTTCGTCAAAGTCCTCCTTTCTGTTTTCTCTTTTCCTCGCCGTTTCCGCTCCAACTCCCCTTTCCAACAGGTTTATCTGAGCTATGTCGTCATCGAGCCTGCGAAGTGCCATTTCTGTGGCGTTGTTCTCTTTCCCCCATGGATCGCTGGCATGTGCCCCACCTGCCTGTTGTGCTCGTACAGACTGATTTACAGTCTTTTTCTCCTGGGGAGTTGTCGTGGCAGAATCTACCTGCACTCCTTCAGAGTCGGACTGATTTACAGCCCTTGTCTGCAGGGGAGTTGGATCGGAAACGGCATGTGCTCCTACGGACTGATCGAGTGTCTTTTTCCCCTTACTACTTCCGCAGCTAATCCCGACATCCTCGACGTTTTCTTTGTCCTCCGCCACAACCTTTCCCACGCACACATTGTCCTCCGCTCGATAACGTAGGGCCTGTGGACCTGAGACGGTGGTCACATTATGTGTGTTTTTCTCTACCTGCGGCAGCGGCAAATGCACTCTCCTAAGTGTCCTTGCTAATCTTTTCATCGACAAAACGAAACTGCACCCGGGCCATCTATAACGTCGAGCCTGCGGGCCGGAGGGGGCAATACTCTGCTGTTTCTGTGGAATCTGTACGCGTGGCAAGTGCACCGCCCTCGCTAATCTTTTCATTGTCAAAACGGAAGTGCATCCGGATCTGGCGACACACCCGTACTTTCCCTCCACTTTCGTTAGCTTCTGATGAATCTGATCCAACAGCTGCACTTCTCCTGCTGCAGTCCCTGAAACGTTCACTTCGGACCGAGGAGTTTTACCGAGCACAGTCACTGTGTTTGACGGCAATGCAGCAGCCTGCTGGTAATGCACGACATGGTACAGCAACTCTCCCTCTGCCTCTTTTCTATCCTTCGATTCCTTTCCAAATTCTTCATCATCGTGATTAACGAGTCCGGTACACATAATTGGGCTTGCCGACTAAGCTGCTGATAAACCGATTATCTTGGCAAGCTGTTGGAGGCGCTGCACGATTACAACTTTGCGGACATGAAACAAATTGCTTGTTTTCCCTGCTACACGTGTGTTCATCGACTTGCTCCACCCCCTCATCAGTGATGAGATAACCATCTGCTACAGGATCCCTAGACTCGTGGACATAGTTTTTTGGTCTTTCATTTACCGCTACGCTGTTGCTGTTGCCTACGACTACCTCAGGTAGTTTACAGCCCAAGGGTGGAATTCTCCAGTGGCTACTGACCCTTTCCTTGTTGCGAATCAAAGCCGTGCCTTCGGAGGACTGGGAGTCCGATTCGGAACCCCCTTTGCAGGAAGGGGGACGCACCCCGCTTCCGTGCCTATCGACTCTCGCATTTCCTGCTGGTATCGATCCTTCAGCCTGCTCCGCTTCGAACTTGGGGACAGTCTCTCTCCTCCCAGTGAGAGCTTGCCCTGGGCACTGTCCAGCAACAAGCTCCTTACAATCGTTTTTTTCAGGCTCTCCCATGCCCACTGCTCCATTACTTGACCCAATTGTGAATCCAAATGCTGCTGCTCTCCTCTCTTCCGATGACGGAACTCGTTCCCCAGCTCTGCCCAGCTTATCATCGCTTGTCATACTTTTCATAACCGCCAACGGGTCAGTTACCGGACCTCCACAAGCCTTAGGGGAGGGTTCTCCTGTGCTCTCCGTGACAAAATGCTGAAATCGCTCTGCACCGTTGCCTTTCACATCCTTCATCAGCTCGCGGTTCGGCAACTGGTTCCTTTGGAAACTTGCGCCGTCAACGAGGGGGAATTCATCCTTGGACAGATGTCCACCGCTACCATCTGCCGCCCCCTTCGGAAGGGGGGTTGTCATCCTGAAAGCACATCCCTGTTCCTCGTTCTCTGACTTGGGTGTTTTCAGTAAGATTCTGGTCTTCTCCTCCTCATCAGCCCCGAGATTACTCATCTTTCCACTACTTCCGTCGACAGGCTTTCCACCACGTCCATCAGAATGACTACTGGTACGTTGCAGATCACGCTGCAAAGTCTCAATGCAGGATGGTTGATCAGCTGCAAATGGAGTTGAAACTGCTGACTTCCGAGCGGAAGCTCCCAAGCGCCTCCGCATGTCCTCCTCCTCCTCTTCCACCTTCACGGATACGGGAATCGCTTCCTTCCTCACGGTTCTATGCCCTCCAGATGCAGTCGACTCCGTTAGGAAGTGTTCCGTAAACGGGACTGTCATTTGACTGTCATCGTCCCCTTGGTCCAGTCCATACTGTGAACCTCTCAAGCTCTGCAATGCCTTTCTTGTGTTTTCAGGCGCCGTACTGGCGTTCTGGGGGTTCAAGGTCCAGGTGCAATCCGCAGCTGCTGCTTTCCTAGGCATTCCTCCCCCTGTGGACTTCGTTTTCTCAAATTGAGAAATGAGCGCCGGCTTAGCGAGTTGACTGTGAGCCCTTTGGCTACCCTTGCCCCTGCTGCTCAGCACTGATGGTTCAAGTCCCCCCTTGCCCTCTTGTTGTTGGCTATCAAGTTGTATAGCTTCCCGAAGCTTTTCCGGATGACCGGGTCTCCTTCCCAATACATGCTGGGATTGGTCCACGGCCATGATTGCAGAATGCACTGCAGTGTCTTGCTTGACATGGATGTTTGCTTGATAGTCCACTTGCGCGCGGTCCTGCTGCGAGCGGCCAGGCCTGTTCTCCTCCCTCCTCCTCTTTTCCATGCCGTATTTAGTCCAACCTTCTTGACTGTCTCTATGCGCATCATTTGTTTGAGCCCTGCCTGATGGTGCAGCTCCGTTCTCAGCACCCGCATGCGAGTCGCCTTTCTGTTCCACTCTTCCCTGAAAAACTTGAAATTCTTCATCTTCGAGAGCACGAGAGCAACTTCTTTGAGTCCTGACCGCTGTATCCTCCTCCTTATTTCCCGCATCCATCGCCTTCCCACCACAATGGGCTGGCAACCCCAGATTCTCTGCGCGCGCACCACTTTTCGCCTCCATCACCTGACTCGCCTTTGCATCGCTGCTTGCCACCCGAACGCGGACCTCAGTCACTCTCACTCCGTCGCACTCGATGTGCTCATTGCCGAACGGAATTTGCAGTCCGGCCTTTGGTACTCCTTTGCATATTTCGCTTGAAAACCGGATTACATCGCTCGCGTTCACACTGCACGGGCGACCAGTGTTGATGTCCGTTCTTTCACTATTCACAGCCTGAGTTTCATTACCTGTGTTGCATCCGCGACACTCCTGCTGCATTCTCTCTTCTACCCCCCCACTTCCCCTCTCATTACTTCCAACACCCCCACCACTTGCACCGCATCGACCGCTGTTCGCTGCAACATCATCTCCACCACATCGCTTAGTATTATCGTATTTTCTCCTTCTCTGGTATACACTTTCCACCCTATTGTTGCCACCCTTCTCTAACACAGGGTTGTGTGCAGAGGGAACACGAGTTTGCACCTCAGTTTCAGTTTCAGGATGCTTCCCGTCACCGGATGGTATGGCGGCCATGGCTGCATTCTCCTCCCTTGCCGTGCCTGATCTGTTCTCTCCTTCCGAACGATCTGAATTGGAACTACCCATCTTGCACGCTTGCTCCCTTGCCAGGCAGGCACCCATCGGCACTGGGTCGGATACATCGGCAATGATGGGTCTACCCCCCTCATTTTCTGTCGTATACCCTTGCCCGCCACCTCGCTTTTTTGACTCTGATCCAGGCTCAGCGGCCGCTCCTCCCTCAGGTGCCGGCAATACCACCTCCCCCCTCTGCACCTCGGACAGTGCTGCTTCACCTGTGGAGACTGACACCCCTCCGCTCCTCAGTGGAGATCGTGTCACATTGTGCACATCGTGCGGCTGCTGTACATCGGCAGAGGCCCTAACCTGATCCATGGCAGACGATATCAAATAAATAAAACATTTATTAAAACACTACCAAATTAGCAGCAGCAGGAGGAGCAACAAGTGGATCTGCACAATGTCATCTGAGCCTGAGCCCTCCTCCGTGCAAGCACGGATTCGAACCAGCGACCTCGGCCTCGAGAGCCAAGTCGCAATTTAGCATCAGCCTTACTTTCAAATTCAAATTGGCACTTGCTTGCACAAATGGTAACTTTTACTCTCTGCAATTTTCGACCCTGTAATTTTCATTTTTTGCACAGAATAATGATGTCAACCATAACGAACAAAAATCGATAGCGATACAAACCGCAATGAACAGATACAAGCAGTGTGTTATGCATGATGTATATAATACTATGTGGAAAAAAGTACCACTACTACCACAAGATTATCCGCCTTCTGTTCTGTGCATCCCCGTGTCGGAACCAGTCGTTCAATCCTCCTAGAATAGCATTTGTATTTGCAGTTATTTTAACCCTAAAACCCAAATGTGCGAGGATTTGACCCCTCAGCAGTGCTGGGAAAGGCCTTGTCCGCCCTAAGTGAAGGTGGGCCTGCCAATATGTGCCAGGGCCTGGGTACAGGCCAGTGTGATCACCCTAAAGGGGTCGTATATGTGCGGGGAATGAGCCTTCACGAAGCCCTTAACAGACATGCACATGTTCTGGGCAGAGGCCCTCAGCAAGCCCTGTGGCCGCCCTAAGTGAAGGCGGGCCTGAATATTCACAAGAGGCCAAGATTTGACTTTCATATGTGGGTATCAGACAGTTGCGGCATGCCAGTTGATTACAGAGCAACGTGAGCCTCTCCAGGCTCTTTCCGCAAGTTGCAGCCTCAACGGGCAGTTGAGCCCAGGGCCCCGTTACAGTTAAGGCCCTGGGTGTGTGCTTTCAGAGGCCGACACATCATACAACAGCCATGGACCAATGAGATTTCAGCATTGTCGGCACAAAGTGGGCGTGAGCGAATGAGATCACAGCGAGCATGTGGAGGCCCGTGGACTGCCTGGACGTGCCCAACTGTAAAGGGCCCAGGCCTGTAACTGCAACTGGGCCTGCACGCAGGCACTGAACCCCTTCTGGAAGCTACTGGATGCTCACCCAGCCAGGCCCAGAGGCAGCAGAGGCTGAGCTCACTTTCCATATAGGAAAGTGAGAATCCCTGGGGAAGGATGCTGGCCTAGTCAGGCAATGCGGCCACGCTGCTGCGTTGCAACTTCGTGTTTTCCACGAAGCTGCCGACTGGGTCGTGCACGCGGGCGCTGGGGTGTGAGGTGCACTGCTGGGGTGTGGGCGCACGGCAGCCATAGCCGGGCTGCTGGGAACGGGTCTAGATGGCGATGGTGGTCTTTGGGTGTTGAGAATGCACACTGTGGGAAGTCAGCAGTGATGAGTAGAGACGAGATACATACCTGGTGCATGAGGGAGGTCAGCTATGGTGTTGACGTCATGTACATTGGTCTTCAAGGTCGAAGTGAGCCTGTTGCGTGAACACTGGTGTAGTACGATAGGCCAGTACTGTAGGCTGGGCGCTGGGCGCCAGTCAGAGTAGGAGCGGCATTGGATACGGTGTTGGTGTGGCCTGAGGGTTTGGACATTGGCTCGTGAGTTCATTGTATTGCTCTTATCTGGATGGAATCTCGGTGCATTTGCACTCTCTGCTTGCACATGATTACTTGGACATCTGTGTGATTTTGCAATTTGGTTTTCTGTATATCGCTCTTGCTCATAGTCCTTGCAAATGAAAAGAAAGTCTTAAAAATATTTGAACCAAAAGTATTTGAGACTTTTTTAGTCCAAATGTGAAGCTTTAAACCCCATTACATTTTGCTGTGCTTCCCTTAGACTGAGAGCCAAAGACGGAAAAAAAAAACGAAAACTCTTCTCCCGAATATAACGCCCTGTCATTATAGCTGTATTTGGGGCACTGTTCAGTCCAGGTGCAGCCATAATGACCGGGTGTTCTATTTGAGTGAAGACGGTAGGTGTCTTACATAGCAAAAGACTGACACCAGGGTCAGACTCTCTGTATTTATTTATTTATTTATTTATTTATTTATTTATTTATTTATTTATTTATTTATTTATTTTGAAACCATCGTGCGCGCACCAGATTTAGTGTGAAGTTCGGTCGCACACTTTGATAACTATAGGTGACCTTACGGCCGCCCTCAAAACCACATTCGTAAGCTGACAGTTTTTCCTTCCCCGAAAGTGTCCTTGAAGCCGAGCTCATTTATGGGATTCAGGAATTTGGCAAGTTCCAGTTAAGTAATACCACTGCAGACAAGAAATATTTCAATTTTGCTAATACGTGGTGATGAAAGCTGTTGCATGCAAAGCCCAATTATTGGCCCATAATTCTCATATTTCTGAATCCCTTGTTTTAGTACTCTATGTTGGCTCCCTTGAAATAAATACCATATTGTCTCCTTATTTTCACAACAGGCTCCTTGAAAACTTCGGGCAACTATTTCGCACAGTTCGGAGGGCACTTCAGGAAGTCTGTGCCAAATCAGATTGAAGTTTTGACCCCTATCCCTTTTGATGATGCCAGAAGTCGTTTTGATATACGATTTTACCTTAAGAAAAAAAGCTTTTACTCCAGAGCGGATTAGTTTGAGAATCCGTTTACCTCGGATTGTTCGTCGGATGACCTTATACAGAGTTCCATGATTTACGGCTCCAAGGCCTGCGGCCTCCAGGGATCCTTCAATACACCATTGCGCACCATGAAAGGTACCCATTCTAACATTAAGGGCCGTGCGAGCACTACGTCCCAGTCTGAAGCCATGTGAATAAGTGGAAAAGCGGGGTTCCCTCTCCAGTAAAAAATTTGGACCATTTCTCGATTTATGCGTGTCATCCTTGCGCAGGGGCCATGCTAATCTTCTCTGTGTAGCGTTCCAATTTTAACGGATGTCCCGAAGGACACAAGGCCATTGCCCTCAGTTAGAGAAGAAAAAGAAAAAAAAGCCAAGGTATCCGTAAAAGCCAGAACAAAAAAAGAAGACTTGGAAAGGTTACTCCTTTTCAATTACCCGTTACAACTTACAAGTTACAAGCAATAAAATAAATTAGTGGAAAAAAGGAATTTTAATTAGGAGGAGATTTGCTAAACTTCTACGATGACAGCTGGCTCAAGGGGGGACTGGGAAACCTACTGAGTAGCAGCATGGTCACTTTGTTGTACAAAAAAAGGGGGAGAGAAGATATCAGGAACTATAGACCCATCTCGCTTCGAACACTACCCTATAAGATCCTAGCCAAAGCTCTTGCCTTTCGAATCCTAGACCTGACAGACAAATGCTTTCACATAGATCAAACAGGTTTCATCCCTGGAAGATACATCCTGGATAACGTATTGACCCTCAGCGAAGTAGCCAACAAAGTTAAAGAAAAAAGGATAATAAACACAGCAATTCTTTTTTTCGATTTTGAAAAGGCCTACGACCAGGGTAACTGGGCCTTTCTCAATGCAAGCATGGAAAAGATGGGAGCGGGCCCGAATTTTAGGAAGTGGATGCGTATTCTGTACAATGACGCCATAGGGTGCGTCCAAGTCAATGGCTTGCTTTCTGACTGCTATCCAACCTCTCGGTCAGTGCGCCAAGGGGACCCGCTGGCTCCCCCAATCTTCCTCTTCGTCATGGAAGCAATAGCCTCATTCCTACGCAAAGACCCCTCTATACACAGACTACCAAAGGTCAATGTAGGAACAACCCATCACCTACATTTCCCGACAGTAATTATGTTTGCAGACGATCTCGCGGTCCTTATAAGCACTTCAGACTCGTCGTTCAGCGCGTTAGTAAGAGCAATGAAAGCATTCAGACTGGCATCAGAAATGAAGATTAATTGGAAGAAAACAATCGGCTGGTGGCTATCGAAGGAGGAGATTCCCCAACGTCAAGGGCCTGAGGCATACATGACATGGGAGACACCAGAGACACCTACGCGATATCTAGGCATCTTGCTGACAAAGGATGGCTTCACCCCTCAAATGGCCCAAAATATCCTCGCCAAACAAATTAGGACCATTTCTCGATTTATGTGTGTCATCCTCGCACAAAGGCCATGCTAAGCTTCTCTATATCGTTCCAATTTTAACGGATGTCCCGAAGGACTAGCCAAACAAATTAACAAACTGGGCAGATGGGGTAATACATTCACATCATTGCTGGGGCGTGCATTAGCCATGAACACATCTATTTTTTCAATGATGTGGTACATAGCGTCAATCTGCACAGTTCCGGACCATACAATCAAGGACTTAACCGTAAAGCAAGAGCGTACTTGTGGTCGGGTGACCCCAACAAAGAGAATTGCATACCAAAGATAGTGTGGCATTACATCACAAGAAAACCAGCTGAGGGAGGTGTTGGTATCATAGACCCCAAACAGGAAACCAAAGCCTTACAAGTTAAATGGATAGTCAAACGACTAACTAAACCTGGTACGGCATGGAATAAACTGACCTTGGATAGCGTCAAGGGCTTAGCACCTACAGCCACACCAGCAAATATGTCCGGCCTGTTCTGGGTAATGACCAAGGAATGGAGTCCAAGTACAGGGCGCAAAAATCAAAGAAGAGGAACCGATCCAAATGAAGCCAGACCCCCTACACCATATTGGACTGCGTTGCTGCGGATATGGCAGGAAGTCATGCGAAGGAAAGTGGGTAGACCCAAATCCAAGGAAGAGGTACTGAGGCAACCCCTGTTTGGTAATCCGTGGGTGAGGGATGAAAGTGATCACCAACTATCCCTTAAGCCTAGAGGAAGGAGATGGCTTTCATGGATCAAACATGGAGTTTGGAAGGTGAGCCATCAATGGAACGAGGAGAAAAAGGATTGGGTGACAGAACAGGAACTTGCCTCCCAGCTCAAAGGATGTCACCGACGAGACGAGAATCTACAATCCATTATCAACTGCATCCCAGAAGGCTGGAAGGAGTTGTTGAGCGAAGGCTCAACTTGGAAA